AGAGAAAGGAAAAATTGAAATCGCATCATATGACCCCTTTAAGCTCAGTCAGCAGCATTTGTGGCATAATGTAGATTACCTCAAAAAAAAAAATGGACTTGTCTCTCATTTTCTTTTAAAGAAAAGCAAATATTAAGGTTATGGTGAAACAAATTTTATAAAAGCTATAATTGTTCTGTTAATTCTTGTGAATTATTTGAGCTGTTCTTGTAATTTTTACGATCATTTTAGGACTTATGTTGTCATGAAAACTAAGTAGTAAACCGGATATAACGATAAAAAAGGTTAGTTACACTAAAATCGTGTTAACATGCATATTGTTTATGTCTTGTGACTGAAACTACTGAAACGGTGAGTATTTTAATGTTTACAGATTGGCCACCATTCATTTCCATTGTAAGTGCCTCACTGTAATTTGCTTTGTTTAAAGAAAATTAAGAATAAGTACAAATAATTTTTTAGGGGGGATCAACATTATGTGCTGTCAATTGAGTTTAACTTCTATCGAACCTGGAATAATCTTTTAATTCACTGAATGTATTATGATTGATTTAAAATAATAGTGAAAATGATTGGAAACCGAAATCTCAATACTATAAAGTTCATTATTACTTCATCCTGTATCTTTATCCATAACGTCAACATTCACAGGTATGTTCTTGATTAGAGTAGGAGGTTTAAAGGTAGACTCTGTCATTGTTCTGTACTTCACCTTGTTTTGTTTTTCTATCTGACATTTCCACAAAGATTAATTTTCTCATTCACATTCTTTTAGAGAGATGCAACCAACCGGCCATCCATGATCCACCATTTTCATCAGATTTTGTCGGATTTCACGGTAATTTGTTTAATTTTCTGTAAAAATGACATACAGATTTTGTTATCGGCAAAACAGAGTCTACCTTCATTTCCTTTCAGTTTGTTTCTTTCTTTTTACTGCATAACCGCCATAATGCTTTGCAATATTTTGCTGCTGATTATAAACAAAGTAAAATGTGTAACCTTTAAAACAGCCTAATATTGTTATGAAAATATGACGCTCTCAATATAATATCATGTGTCTAATGTGTTACATTAATTAGAGTAGATAATGTCAGTTATAGCCAGTCTGGACTCAGCCACTTGATCCAGTTTATGACACTTTTGTTAGATGCTTTTGAAGAGAGAATACTTATGTATGCATGATACACATTATTTATGAACCCTGCGCCATATTAATCAAGGTTAAATTTAGACTCATCCAAATCAAAAGGAGGACAGTCTTAGCTCTGTGAGAAATCTGGGTCATTGCAGAAAAGCATGTATCTGCAGTGTTCTGTAGACACTGTTTGAACCGCCTGTTTATGATGTGTGAAAACAATGGCAGTTTTTAGTATGTGAGTGAAAACTCAGGAATTGTCATTTAGAGGTGTCTGCGAACCGAGTTCTGAGTACATTTATTTATGTCACAGTAACCTCCATTAATCCCTTGTTGTTTATGCAATTCATAATCTGGTGGCATCCAGTAAAAATAGTGTGGCTAAATATGAGACTATACTTGTTTAGTTAGAGATACGCTTCATTACACATCCAGATCAACTGGGCTGGCCTGTGATTCTAATGAGATTACCCCAAGAAGACTTAAACGTTGTTAAAATCATCCCAATCCTTACTGTTAGCTCACTCAAAAAATAAAAATACTTCATCATTTACTCACTCTCAAATTGTTTCAAACCTGTATGAATTTTTATTTTCGTCTGTTAAACATAAAAGAATATATTTTAAATATATTTTAGTAGATAAGTTTTTCACTGTGAGTGAAGAAGACACAAAGTTCGCAATTTGTAATACGTGTAGGGCCAAAGTAAACCGTGGGGAAACAACAGGGCTCAATTAAAGCTTGTCTGGGACAAGTAGATTTTCTAAAGGCAAGTGATAGAGAATTTTACTTGCCTGACCAGACAAGAAGCCTGATTAAAATGTCAATACCAAAAATAACTTGGGAAGAACTGAAACGTGGCCACCAAAAATTTTCACTTGAGAATGGTTGTGTTAAAATTAAGTGACTTACATTTTAGACACAATATTGACTGTTTTTGCACGATTTCACAAATGAAAACAGTTCAAATCAAAGCCACAGCAGAACTGTTGTGTGTCTCCTAGCAACACGCAGTAGAGTTTCCACTTGACACATTTGTCGCCACCTACTGGTGGTTTGGTTTCATATTTAAAAGTATCATTGCATTTTTCCCAACATTCCTTATTTGTATGTGCAAAAAATTATTTAACACATTAATTGTATAAAATTAATTATGCATTTGCAATTTTGCGGTGTAAATACATCTAATGCCACTTCAGATGCAGCTTCTGTGTTTGCTTAATTTCTTTTATTATGTAAATAATTTTTTTGCATTGAAAAAAGTAGATTTTTGTTTGTATATGTTATGCTTTCAATTATAGTTCTGAGATAGAAAATCGGAATACTGTAGGCAAAAATCAGTATCGGCAGGTCACACTTACAAAAAAAATCGGTAATTGTAATCAGAATCGGCCAAGAAAATTGCAATCGGTGCATCTTTATATTTTAGAATATATTTTGAATGTATTTTAGAATAAATATTGTTGGTCCTCATTGACTTTGACATTGACATGAAAAAAATACTATAGAAATCAAATGGGTACCAGAAACTGACTGGTTACCTACATTCTTCAAAAGAACTTATTTCATGTTCAACAGAAGAAAGAAAGAAAAGAAAGTCAATATGCATTGAATATGCAAAATGTTGATGTGTGTTTGACATTTGCATGTTTAAATTATGGCTGAATCATGAAGAATCATTTTGTTAAGTCAGATCTTTTCAATGAATCAGCTTATCCATGTCACAAAACCAGTGTGAATGATTCATTCACAAATCAGACTCACAAATTCAACTCACTGAACCCATGCTCTCAACAGTTACTAGCTCACTGAAGACAATGTCTCTGTTACGTATGGTAACCCTCGTTCCCTGAAGGAGGGAATGGAGACGTCGCGTCGGATGACCGACGAATTGGGATCTCGCTTAGAGAGATCCCAATTCGTCGGTCATGCGACGTGACGTCGAGAGTGACCGACTGAAAGGGAATGTCTCGGTTACGTATGGTAACCCTCGTTCCCTGAAGGAGGGAACGGAGACGTCACGTCGAGAGTGACCGACTGAAAGGGAACAGTTGTTAGAGAATTACGAGTTAGATTTTGGTCAATTCCCCACACAAACATGACTGCTCTTATTTTTCAAGCTTGAAAGCTCCAGTTCCCATTCATTGTAAATAAAAAGACAGATTAGTTCATTATTCAAATTTATTCCTTTTGTGCTCCACAAAAGACAAAAAAAGCCAGTTTTTAAATGCTATAAGGTGAGTGAATAATTAATTTGTATTTTTAGTTGAACCTTAATACAAATCTGCTGTAGTAATACTAACCCTCTCTATGTTTTCCTGCTCAAAACAATCTGATCTGTCACGTCCATCTTGTTAGCAGAACACTAACACTTCTCTTTGGTTCACACATAACTACAGACATGTGTCATTACTTTGTCACTGATGCAGTTAAGTCGGGCCTTCGACCAAAACATTGTCGTCGTTGCCATTGTTAGTCCGTTTGTTTTTCCAGCTGCACTCTGACATTAATAGTCTGTCCAGTAGTCTCTTTCATTTTTAGCCAATCATCAGTGTTAGGCTGCAAGTGCATGTAGCTTAGCCTAGCTTGACAAGATAAACTGCTTCTCCAGAATAACAATCTAATCTAAAGCGGCCGTCTTCTGGGAGCTGACACAGATTAATTGTGGTGGAATATTAAGGGCATACCCAAGCGGCCCAGGCAGAAGGATACAATGTCATGTTAAAGTCACGGTGAAGGGACCATGTACTGTGCTTCTGCTGACCTGGATATGCAGCAGCCAGGTAGAGCCCGGCAATAGATGAGGCACTTTACTGCCCCACTGCTGTTCTACTTTCAGGAAAACCTTTGCTGACCTTTCTCAAGAGGGAAGTGAAATCAGGATGTCTTGCACTATATTATATGCACCTTGCTATTTAATTGCTACTTCTATACATTACAATGTCTAGCTTTTCCAGTTACACTGAAACTGAGTCTCATAATACGTCTTTTCAAATTCACCTTCTCTTGCACTTACTTTGATTGACGTGTTTAACAAAATGTACCCTCATCCCATATCTTTCCTGCTTACATAACTTGTCCCACTAACCTACGCTAGAGTTTTTGTTCTGCTCTTGACTGTTATCGGCCCTCCTTAACTTAAGCATTAACTCTTGTGGTTCAGCGTTAATTACAACTCGTTATGTCCACTGATCTTATTATAGTGGTCTTGTAGTTCTTTGCTGGTCTAGTATTTCAGCTTGACTTTTATTTATAGCTGCCTTCTCTGATTGCCTCTTAGACAATATCTACGTTTTCTCTCATAAGTATGTTTAAGATGTGAATCTATGCATTGTGCAGCTAGATTTTATATCCGCTACCATTTAAAGTTTGGACACACCTCCTCAGTCTTTATTACTTTATTCTACATTTCATAATAATAATAAACCATAAAACCTGTGATGTAGCACAAATTGAAGTATGTGACTTATTTAGTGGCCAAAAATGTTTCTTAAAAAAAATCTAAACTCTTATATTTTAGCTTCTTTAAATTAGCCACCCTTTGCTAGATTACACTCAACCAGGGCATTCAACCAGCTTCATGAGGTGCCACCTGGGATGCATTTTAAACTGTATATATTATTAAAGAAGTTCCCATGTATCCTGCACACTTTTTGGCTGCTTTTCCTTCACTCTCCCTGCTCAAATGCATCCATTAAAAAATGTAATTAAAATTGTAGTTATTTTAGTAATTTATGTATGCCTACAAAAATAGTTTTATGCATTTAAGTGTGTGTAAATGCATAAAATAAACGTAAATGTCAGAAAACAGAAACATTTATAAATCTATTGCAAATATTTAATTATAATTACAACAACAAAAACAACAACAATAGTTATTTTAAAGATCAGATTACAAAAATGCTTAAATCTATTGCAAATATGTATTTATTTAAATAATTATTCTACATGTTAGATTACAGAAAATGATTTTATTTCTTTTTTAAATCTGTTGTGTATATATTTATTATTTATTGTATATATTATATATGATTGTACTGTATGTCAGATTATATAAAAAAACTTTGTAAATATATTGCAAAGTTCATTTTTTTTCTCCTTTTTCTGTTTCCAGAGGAAGGCGAATATTTCTTAAAGGTGCTGATTCCAAGCTACGCCGCAGGCTCCATAATTGGCAAGGGTGGTCAAACTATTGTCCAGCTACAGAAAGAGACAGGGGCCACCATCAAGCTGTCCAAATCCAAAGACTTCTACCCGGGTAAGTCTGCTAATTCCAGAATGCTTTGAAGGGAACCCTCATCAACCTCCTCGTTTACTGCACCACCATCCAGTCATTAAACAGCACACATTTTAAAGCACCTGGATTACTTTATAACTTAATTAACCCATGTTATTAGACTATGCTAATACATCACCAACGGTACCTCACCTATAACTATAACTATCGTTATATTTATACTGATCGTTTTCATTGTTCACACACAGACATGGTGTCTACACCGGATGCGACAACTGTACAGAGATACCCATTTTAAATGCATTTAGTAGCAGAGCTACTGCAAGCAATTTTCGGTGCTGGAAATCCGTTTATCCTTTGTTGAAACTTCCGCGTGGTCGTGGAGAGCGCAGGTCACGGTTGCTTAGCAACGGCAGACGCCACGAAAACGCAAGCTCCCAAGCGCTTTGGAAAGAAGGAGAAAGCGGCGCGGCTGGCGTTTTCCACACATTTTTAGGCGCGACATGTGAATGGCCCCAAAGTCTGTCCACACTGGACACGCGACAAAGCGACCATTGCCAATCATTTGAACTTTGTGTCAGTACATCATAAAGAGAACGCGGCATCAGTTTACTGTCGGGGATTTGTCGTGTCGCGCCGCATCCAGTGTAGTCAGTCACACAGCATCACTGATTATAATGAGTTCTATTGTATTTTGTCGCGACGTGTCGTGCCGCTCGCGTCCGGTGTAGACACGGTGAGAGCCATGCAGATGCACGTGAACACTGAATTCTGTTCACTTCTGCGTCTATTTGTGCCTGAAATACTGTGCTCTGCAAGTATCCTTGTAAACAAAGATGCTTATGACTTAGGTGAAGGGAAACAATTGAGTAAGAAAATGGATGTGTAACAGTATATTGGTTCACAGCAGTTTAATGTTCCTGAGGCTTTTTGTGTTATGAATGTTAATCAAACAACAAAACATACTGTTAGACTTATCCTGAAAAATATAAAACACTGCTTATTTCATTTGTATCTTTGTTCTGTTATATTTATCTATGCTTGTAATCTGTTTATTTCCTATGCTGATTTACTCAACTACAAAATCACCCCAATCATTGATTTTTTTTTTCTCCCAAATAAGCTATTCAAGTCATGTGGTGATTTTTGTTCATATCGCAATATATAATGTGAGTTTTTTCCAATATCATGCAGCCCTAGCAAAGAGTGCCAGATCAAGTGGGGACAAAGTGTCAAGAGACATAGGAGCAAGTATGGAGTTCAGAGCTTAAATAAATGCCAATACCATGTTTGAATGGTTCCTTTCTAGTAATGTTTATATTTAGAGAGAAAAAGAGGCATGTTTTGTATCCGTGTGTGTTGGAATTCTTTCAGATGTTTTTAGGGATGGGTGACACAGAGGAAACGAGAAGTGGCGGGGGTCTTCTGGACTCTTTCTTAAAAGGGCTTTGTACGATTTGCTCATCCTCCCATTGCTGGCATGTCCAACAGGGCACCTCTGTCCCATTCCCCTTGGGATGTTTAGCACAGAGTGATGGCCAGCCATGGCAGATGCCAAATGCAAGACACCTTCCACCCACCCCCCTTTCATTGGTTTTGGCAACCTTGAGTGCTCCAACGTCTAGAGCAGGGGGGTTGTGATGGCTACTGAATTAAGGGAGAGGAACGTACGGGAATAGTTGCCGGAGCTGTGCTAGGTTGTTTGAGTGCTTAATGGGGGGTTCTTCCTCTCCAGTGAAGGGGGCATCTGTATGGAAATCAGCTTGAGCTTTTCCTTGGGTGCGAGTCAAAAGATCCACCTGCTGTGCTGCTCTCACGGTGGGGAAAGAGGGAACTGTTTAGCTGGTTTGGGGAGAAGTGTCCTGGATATCCTGTATAAATCACTAAACTGTTTAAAGAAGCACATCATATCTCTGAACTTATCGTCTGTGATAGAAGCTGAGCTGGCATTTAATTTTGGACAAAGTAGCGCTGGCCAGAGACATCCATTATTTCTGCAGAACGTATTTTATTAGTTGTCTTCGCTCTAAATATAGCTTCTGCAGCATTTATTGGGAAACAGCCATATTTTACAATGACCTTGCATCTGTTAAGTACACTGTTCTATCTTGAAGACGCCACAAGAGACTGTTAGGTTAAATGTAGTTTATATGTTGTGGTTTTTATTAACTAGCATGCAAATTCGTGCAATTTCAGAACATAAACTGGATGTTACAGTTAAGTGGCCACTACTTAAGGAAAGTTCACCCAAAAAGGAAAATTCTGTCATCATTTATTCACTCTCATGTTGTTCCAAACCTGTATGATTTACTTTCTTCTGAGTAATACAAAACAAAATGTTTTCCAAAATATTTTTGTCCATACAAAGAAAGTCAATAGCATCTAATGTTGTTTTGGACCCCAGTGATTTAACTGTGTGGACAAAAACAATTGAAACATTTTTTTTAAATATGTTTTTTGTGTGTGTTCCACAGAAGAAAGAAAATAATTCAGGTTTGAAATTTTATGTACAGAATTACATTTTTTTTTTCCAGTGAACTGCCCCTTTAAATTATAAAGTTAAATGTAGTTTATATGTTGTCATTTTTATTAACTAGCATGCAAATTTGGGTTGTTACAGTTAAGTATCAGCTTCTTAAATGGACAATTTGAAAATGTGGTCATATACTCGCCCTTTTCTCATTCCAAACCTGGATGACTTTCTATTTTCTGTGACACAAGAAGAAGAAGAAATCCACACAAAGAATGTCAATGGGGTCCAACACTGTTTTAGTACCCACGGACACTGGAAAAAATAGTTTCTTAACATTCCTCAAAAAATGATGACAGAATTTTTTTTGGCGTGTGTGTGTATGTGTGTGAACTATCCCTTTAATTACTAAAAAAACTTCAAATCAAAGACTTATGTTCCAGTCATTTGCATGAAAAAACAGCACCAAAAGTCACATTTTAACACAAAAGTCTCGCTTGATTTTTCTCACAGCATTTTCAGATACGAGTCCAGAGAGTTGCATCATCCTTTTTTCTTTATAATCGGCCAGCGCTCTTCCTCTCAGGTTTCCTGTGTGTGTGTACATTCTGACTTTTCCCTGTCCAAGTCACTGATCCCCATCCAGCCTCTCTGTCCCTTTCAGCAGAATGTAGCACAATATTAAAGCTCGCTCCTAATCCAGCACCATGATTGCAGTTTTCAGTGTTTAATTCCCAGAGAGCCATGCGGCCCTGCCCCCACACATTATCAACATTACTGATTTCTCAGCTGTGTAATCTGCTTAAGACCTAAGCTTTGTGGCCAAAAGATGAAAAGCTGCAATATTACTTATCTAGGGGTAGAAATTAGTTTTCTGCATGTTTATGTATATTTTTTTCTCTTTCTCCATTTCTTCAACCTTATTCACAACATAATTCATTTTTATTTGTGATGATCTTAGTGTTGCTTAGCTTAATTCAAGCTTAGTCATCTTGTTTAGCACACTTTTAAAAACAGTACTTAATTGCATGTTATTTGCAATTAAATGAATGCATTTTACATAGAAATTAATTTATACTTTTATTAAATGCAATTAGTTGAGTCCTTTTTTGACATGTTTATGTACGACTTGCATACATCTGTGTGATTTCATAATTATGTACATCTTTATATGTAATTTAACTGTATCGAATAACATACTATTGTTAAAATCAAAATCAAGTAATTTACATGTGCTTTATTATGTTAGTCAACACATCAAATAAGTGTACTTCTTTAAAGCATAATAAAAGTGTGTATTTATATAAATAACAAAAATGTACTTTAAAGTAAATCTTTTAATTTGACATTATTATAAAGTGTAATATTTCTTTAATATTATATTATCTGCAAATACAGTTTTTAAAAAATATATACTTTTAAGATTTGAAGTTTCTCATAAGGGATGGTGTGTTTTAGTATACTTTAGTTTGTGTAAAACACTATTTAGACAGAGTTAACAACAATTTACCATGTTAATACCATGTCTTTGAGCTTTGAAGTACCTTATGCTCATAGTACCATGTAAATACCATGATATATATCAAAGTACCCTCAACTCACTGTACTGCCACCATGTAGTACTTCTTTGTAAGGGAGTGCTGACACTTTTGAGGTTAATGAGTTAGCCTTTATTGCTACCGAATAAGCAAATGTTAGTAAGGGTTTGAAAGTAATTATGTGACTTTTGCTGTGTTTTGGATTTGGTCTGTGGAAATGTGTGCCAAAAAATCTTGAAAGAATCACACTCAAGCCAAGGAGTGTTATGTTCAGAAGGTGAAGTTGTTTTGTAGAATTCTAGCAGCAATGCCAACTGAAATTGTCTACTGCTAAAATGTCAATATGTCTTAAAGCTTGTGCACATTTTAGTGCTTGTTAATCAGTCTGTTTGTGAACTTCATTAATTGAGTGCTATGTGTAAGTGCTAGCCTATATGCTAACTGTCGCTATTGTCAGAGACGGCGGGATAATCGTCATCTGGGCTGTGGAGGAGAAACGAGGTACCCTTAATCCCCGTGGCTTTGTTTTCTTTTTCAGGCATGTGACGTCATTTTCTGTGGCTGCTAGCCCTCAGTGCCAGCCAGTGCCTGAGACTCACACAGTCAAACCAACTTGTACAAAAGAGCCTTGATTTCCAGAGCAAGTTTGACCAGAGTCTCATCATAGACAGAGCGATATAGAGAGAAACACTTAGCGAGGGGGATGATGGGAGTGATGGCGCAGACAGTGATCTTGAAAATGATGAAGATGCTAGAACATCAGAGTACATTTGCGATATAATTAGCATGTTGCCCACTTAGCGTGCTGACGCTTTCAATTAGGTATGACTAGACTTTTTTTCAGTGATCGTCAGGAAGATCTTCAGAATGTGATGTCTTCTTTCACATGTGATCCTTTCTTCCTTTCTTTCTTTCTTTCTTTCTTTCTTTTTAACTGTAGTGTTATTTAATATTACATTAAAAGAATATATATATTTTAGATGTATTAAATTGCGACTTCATCATAACATGTT